TCTCTCATACTTTGGACATATTGTCAGGAGGGAACAGTCGCTGGAGAAGGTTGTCATGTTTGGTAATGTGGAGGGCCAGAAAGAGAAGAAGACCCCCAACGAGTTGGATTGGCCAAGTGGCAGCATTGATGGACTCAAGAGTGGCAGGAGTAGTGAGGTTGGCCCAGGATCAGTCTGTGTTTTGTTCTGCTGTGCATAATGTCACTGTGAATTAGTACCGACTGGATGGCACCTAATAACAACAATGTGATGGCTGGAACTGTGGTTGCCTTGGCCAAACCACCCTGCTCTAGCCATTTAGTTTTCCCTCCTCTTCCTCCCATCCTTGGTAGGATGTTTCTTTAAGTATGAACATTTTTCTTGACTTTTTACAATAGTGGTCTCTTACAATATTTTTTATTTTGTGGAGGACCAATTTTATTCAGCAAGGCTGTAAATCTTGATGGATGCAGGCAGACTGCCGAATAGTTCTGCAATTCTGGTTGGATTCAAACCACTGACTTTTCAATTAGCAGTGGAGTGCTTAACTACTCTGCTACTAGGGCTCCTTTGGAATGTTCTAGCTCAAGGTAATTTACAAACTCATAATTCCAAATGCACAATTCCCTGAAAGACAGACTCATATTACCCTCCCCATGTCATCTGGAGATAAATGATACCTTTAACTCGGTACATTCTTGTTACTTTTGTACCTTTACGTGGGTATATTAAGTGTTCACTGGACTTACCATTATGAGACAGTGCTCCCCATCCTGTAACAACAACACCTTCACCTGGTAGAAAAATCTGGGAGGCTTCAGGCAGACAAACTCGATGTACATCATTATTAAATACAACTTTTTCGGTGAGCAGTATAACTGCAATATCATCATGATGCTCATTTGGTTTGTAGTCTTCATGAATAACGATTTTTTGAACATAATGTTTCATGTAGGGAGGGTTTACTCTAGTGCCAAAGCTGACTGTGTAGTTTCTGGGGTTTTTAGACCTTAAAGAAACAAAAAATTATATTCTTTTCCTTTATTTCAAAATAATAGAAATATTTCTGTATCTACTGTACTATTTTCATGACATTAATACTTTTGGGCTCTATAGCACATTAGAAAGGATACAATCTAACTTTTCATTTTAAAAAAATCGTGTTTGAGCCTCTTCACCATTAACTATATGAGCTAATATACCAAAATTAAAGCCAAAGCCTTTGAGTGATTGTAATTCACAGAGACCCTACACGACCGAGTAGAGCTGCCCCCATAGAGTTTCCAAGGCTGTAAATCTTTAGGGAAGGTGGCTGCCATATCTTTTTCCAACAGAGTAGTTAAAGAGTTCAAATCATCACCTTTTTGGTAAGCATGCATGTGCTTTAACCTCTGTGCCACCCATGCTTCTCATATGAGACAATAAGAATACAAAATGAAAGTAAATCGTCCACACCTTCAACAAGTTTAGAGTCTAAATGCAAAGTGGACACAAATGCAGGCAGTTACAATAATTGCTTAAATGGTTGTACATGTAAAGGCTAGTTGAACCATAAAACACAAGAACTTAATCTATATGTGTAACAGAATGCAAGAGTTCACAAGGAAATGTTTTGATGAGTCATATCTGCCTTAGATATAAGTAGCGAAAAAGGGCATTTCAGGCAGGTAGGACACTACGTATGGGGAGTGGGAAGTATGAAACAAGATACTGTGTTTTAGTAACTCCAAGTAGTTTGGAATGTCTAGAGTATGCATTTTAAGAAGAGAGTGATGAGGTGTAAGACTAATTTGTAAACTGGAACTACCTCAGGGTCTATGGTCATGCTACCCTTAAGAAACATAGTGAAGTTACTTTTTAAAGCAGTGAGCTGCAGTCACCAGGTATCTGTCACTGATCAAAGATGCCCCGCAGTAGTGTTTTCCATTCATTTTGAGACTTGCTTGCCATGGCCACTCTCCTTCCTGAGCATTGGAGCCCCCCTTGACTCTGTCATATGTAGCTGACATCCTTGCTCGTCTCCCACAGCCTATGGAAAAGGTCAGATTTGTTTCAATGAGAACAAGAAGGTAACATCTATTTGATAATAAAGCGGAAAGTGAACTAAGAACTGTTCCATCTGGCAATATTCATACTGAAAGGAATTTAATTTGTACAAGAATCACTAGCTGTTGCTGGGCCACCTCTACCCAATATCCAAGGCTTGTTGGCACTTGAAAAATTCTTAAACTGGTAAAGTAATGCCAGACTCCCTGGATTTAAATTCTTGCCCCATCATTTACAATCTGGATGAATCTGAACATATTATTTCACTTCTTCTTCACTTTCCCTAAAACAGGATTATTGTAATATCTATCTCAATGATTGTTATGCACAATAAATGTAAACCATGTTGGACTTGCCTAACCAAAAATAACAAATCATGTGCTTTAGGTGATCTTGTACATTTAACTAAAATATATCTGAACTTACAGTTGTTGATAATCTTTTCAGCATTGGTCTTACTGAGTTCTGAAATAGAATAAAAAGGCCATGGTAAATTGAATGCTCAGGATGAGTAGACTGACCCAAGAGCAATGGAGTTCTACAATAGTAGGACCAACAAAGCAGGAGGGTCCCAGAAATAATTTAGAATCCCAGGAGAAAGTACCAAGAGCAAGGCAAGAATATTGCTTTACTTTTTACTACCTAGAAATACGTGATATGAAAATTCATTTTGGTAGTTTAGTGTGAAAGTCTCATTTTATTTAATTGGAATTTCATTCTATATCATTTATAAGGGTAAATCAGAAAGTATTGGTAAAAAAATTATTGTTGTTGTTAAGTGCAGTCAAGTCTGTTCCAACCCACAGTGATCCTGTATAGGGTTTCCAAGGAGTGGCTGGTGAGCTTGACCACCAACCTTGAGATTCAAGCTGACTGTGAAGTCCAGAGCATTAATAACAAAGTATGAAGCTATTGCTTGTCAATATATTCTCCATCTAGATCTATACAACTGTAATGTGATGCATTCATCTCTCTAACCCTTCCTGGGAGCAGTGTTTTATATGATGGGCTACTAATAACGAAGTCACCAGTTTGAATCCACCAGCTGCTCCTCAGGAGAAATATAAGACTTTCTGCTTCTGCAAAGATTTACAGCCTCAGAAACCATATACAAGTCCCTTTGAGTCAGAAATGACTTGATGGCACACAGCAACACTTCCTGGAGGAAGTCTGTATTCTTTGATTTATACTATGTCAAAACAGCAGTTCTGCCATTCTCAAGGGACTCAAATTATGTCCTTTTTTAGTATTATTTGAGACTTGGGACCAAAAAGAAGTCTGAAAGGGAAAACTCAAGGCTAGAGTGTAAATAGGATAATGTTTTCCAACAAAGTTCTCCTAGGACAGCCCTTGCAACCCTCAAAGAATGAAAGGTGCATTGTTGTGATCCAAACAATTCCTTGGTGCAAATTTACAAGCCTTTATTTCACTGATACAGCTATCAATTTTCTGAAAACTTGTTTATAATAAGTCCTGTGATCATCCTGTGTCCTTTGAGTGACTCTATCAAGATTTGTTGTTGTTGTTAAGTGTCATGAAGACAGTTCTGACCCATAGTGCAAGGAGCACCTGGTAAGCTTCAACCACCGACCTTGTGGTTCAAACTGACTTTGTAGTCCAGCACATAAGCCCATAGCGCCACACCAGGAGTCTATCAAGATTAACCCTTTGTAATCTTAACAACAACAACAAAAACCACATAACCTTCTGAGTGACCTCATTGTCTTAAAATGAACAGGCCAAGAAGATCCACTTGTTTTTGCTGTTAGGTGCTGTTGAGTCAGTTCTGACTTACAGCCACGTTATGCACAAAGGAATGTGCCATCTTCACAATCATTGTTAAGCTTAAGTCCATTGCTGCTGTTACTTAGCCAATCCATCTTGTTGGAGTACTTCCTCTTTTTCACTGAACCTCCACTTTACCTAACATGATGCCTTCTCCAGAGACTGACCATTCTTGATAATATGTTCAAAATATGAGAGATGAAGTCTTGACATCCTGATTTCAAAGGAACATTCTGGCTGTACTTCTTCCAACACAGATTTATTTGCTTTCCTAACAGTCCATGGTACTTTTAATATTCTTCCCAAAACCATAACTCAAATGCATCAATTCTTCTACGGTCTATCTTACTCACTGTCCAACTTCAAAATACATATGAGGTTATTAAAAACACCCTGGCTTGTTTCAGGAGCACTTTACTCCTCAGACTGATATCTTTGCTCTTGAACTTTAATGAGGATGTGTGTACTAGATTTGCCTAAAGCAATAACATGTTCAATTTCTTGACTACTGCCTCCATGAGTATTGATAGTGGATCCAGGCACTATTGACAGTGAGCAACACTGCCAGAGGGAATGACACCAAAATGAGTGTCTATATATTGTTGTGCAGTTGTTTCAGTAGAAATTGATTATTTTCATAAAACCTGTATTATAACCAAAAAAAAAAATTTTTTTGCCACGCTTGAACCCACTAATGCTGTCAATTTGTCAATCCATCTCGCTGGGGGTCTTCCTCTTTTTGTCTGATCCTCCACCTTACAAAACATGATATCCTTTTCCAGAGACTGGTCCTTCCTGACAATATGTCTGAAATATGAAAGATGAAGTTTGGCCATCTTGGCCTCCAAGGAGCACTCTGTCTGCACTTCTTCCAACACAGATCTGTTGGTTCTTTTGGCAGCCCATGGCACTTTCAATATTCTCCCCAACACTATAACTCAAAAGCATCTATTTTCTACAGTCTTCCTTATTCACGGTCCAGCTTTCATGCACATATGAGGTTATTGAAAATACCATGGCTTGGGTCAGGTGCACTTTAGTCCTCCAGCTGACATCTTTGCTCTTCAACACTTTAAAAAGGTCTTGTGCAGCAGATTTGACTAATGTAATACGTCATCTGATTTCTTGACTACTGCTTCCATGACTGTTGATAGTTGATCCAAGAAGAATGAAGTCCTTGACAACTTCAATCTTTTCTCCATTGATCAGAATGTTGTTGATTGGTCCAGTGGTGAGGATTTTTGTTTGCTTTACGTTGAGATGCAATCCATACCAAAGGCTGTGCTTTTTGATCTTCATCAGTAAAAACGTTAAGTCCTCTTCACTTTCAGCAAGCAAAGTTGTATCATCTGCAGATAGCAGGTTGTTAATGAGTCTCCCTCCAATCCTGATGCCACATTTTTCTTCATATAGCCCAGCTTCTTGGATTATGTGCTCAGCATACAGGTTGAATAAGTATAGTGAAAGAATACAACCCTGTCTCACACCTTTCTTAATTTTAAACCATTCAGTGTTCCCATGTTCTTTTCAAACAATTGCCTCTTGGTCTATGTACAGATTCCTCATGAGCACAATTAAGTGTTCCTGAATACTCATATTTCACAATGTTGTCCATAGCTTGTCAAGATCCACACAATCAACAGCCTTTGTGTTGTCAATAAAACACAGGTAAACATTTTTCTGGTATTCTCTGATTTCAGCCAAGATCCATCAGACATCAGCAGTTATATCCCTCATTCCATGTCCTTTTCTGAATCCAGCTTAAACCTTCTGAAGTTCTCTGTCAATGTATGCTTTCAACCGTTTCTGTATTACACTTAATAGAACTTTACTCGTGTGGGCTATCAAAGATATTGTCTGATGATTTCCACATTCCATGGGTCACCTCTCTTTGGATTGGGCATAACTTCGGATCTCTTCCAATCAGTCAGCCAGATAGTTGTCTTCCAAATTTCTTGGCAGAGATGAGTGAGTGCCTCCTGAGCCACCTCACTTTCTTGAAAGATTTCAATTTGTATTCCATCAATTCCTGGTGCCTTGTTCTTTTCAAATTACTTCAATGAACCATGGAATTCCTCCTTCAGTATCATTGGCTCTTGAACATCAACCATTCCCTTTTAGTACAGTGACTCTGTGTATTCCTTCCATCTTCTCTTGATGCTTTCTGCATCATTCAATACTTTTCCCAGAGAATCCTTCAATAATGAAATTGATGCTTGAATTTTTTCTTCAATTCCCCCAGCTTGAGAAATGCTGAGCATGTTCTTCCTTTTTGGTTTTCTGATTCTAGATCTTTGCACATTTTGTTGTAATATTTGGCTTTATCTTCTCTAGCTGACCTTTTAAATTTTCTGTTCAGCTCTTGTACCTCCTCATTTCTTCCATTTGCTTTAGCATATTTATGCTGGAGAGCAAACTTCAGAGTCTCTTCTGACCTTTTCCTTCTTTCTTGTCTTCTTAATGACTTGTTGCTCTCTACCTCTATGATGTTCTTGATGTTATCCCACAGCCCTTCTGGTCTTCAGTCTTTAGTGTTTAATGTATCAAATCTGTTCTCTGGATTATCTCTAAATTCAGGCAGGATATATTCAAGATCATATTTTGGCTGTCGTGGACTTGTTTTCATTTTCTTCAGCTTCAGTTTGAAAATGTATATGAGCAATTGATAGTCTGTTCCACAATCTGCCTCTGGCCTTGTTTTGATTGATGAAATAGATCTTTTCCATTGTCTCTTTCAAAAGATGTAGTCAGTTTGATTTCTGTGT